GCTTCTGTAATAAAAACAACCACAAATGAGTGGCTTTAAAGACTAGAGATTTATTTTTTCACAGTTCAGGAGGCTAGAAGTCTGAATTCAGGGCTCTGGTTCTAGGAGAAGGCTCTCTCTCTCTGTCTTTCTGTCAGCTCCGGGGGAAGGTCCTTGTCTCTTTTAGCTTCTGTAGCCCCAGCTTTCCTTTGTTCCTTGGTGAGCTTCACTTGGCACCTATCTTCCTCCACTTTTGCTTCCTTCTGTGTCTAATCTGCTCCTTTTGTGTCTCAGAAACTATTTGGTTTAGGGTCCACCCTACACTAACAAAGCCTCATTAACATAACAAGAACCCTGTTCTCAAAGGAGATAACATCCACAGGTATAGGGTTAGGATTCCAACACATACTTTAGGGAGAATACTTGAATCCATAACACCAAGCATTTAGCATATTCTTTTGTATAAGAAATAATAGATGTAGAATTTTTAACTTCACCAAAACATCTCCAGAGAATCACTAGTTCTAGTCTTTCTTCGTATTAAAATTTCAGTCTTCTGAAAGGGTAAACAAAGTGAGTTTTTCTTATTCCCCATGTGCCCGGGATAATGTAGACACATCCTACTGATTTGAGAAACCAGAGCGCTAAATACAGTAAAGACAGAAATGCTCATTTGATTTCCTCTACCGTAAGGAAGGTGCCCTGGTGGTGTAGTGGTTAAGAGCTCGGCTGCTAACCAAAAGGTCAGCAATTTGAATCCAAATCCACCAGCCGCCCCTTGGAAGCCCTATGGGATGGTTCTGCTCTGTCCCATAAGGTCACTGTGAGTTGGAATTGATAAGGAAACGGGCTGTGAGCTGTTTTCGCAGATTTATCTGACTCTACATACCCAGAGGTGGTGACCTGGAACTTCCCAGATATCAGAATTAAAAGATTTGGAGATGTCTAGTCCATTCACCCACCATTGTCTGAATCTTCTTATTCAAAAGCCCAGCTAAGTGCTTAGTGACAGTAACTTCCTGTCCCCGAACCTGGCCATCATGGAACAATTCTGACCACGCTTGTCCTACTGTTGGCAGGAAAGCCCGAGATAAACCCCGTGTCCTCTCCTCCTCCGCAAGGCTGGCATCGTTCTTCAGGCGACA